TGCTACAGTTAGCTTTGTATTTCAATGGTTTTTATTAATTTTAAACAGTATAAAACAGAGGCAACAAAACACACCCACGCAGGGGCTATCAATTGCACCAATAAAAAAGGCATAATAGAGCAGACAACGCTCTAATTCCAATAAGGCAAAACGTATGCCCACGCAGGGGCTATCAATGGCACATAGGTTACAATAACATCAATAAGACTCTGACTATCGCAACTAAAGACAGTTGTCCACTGTCACATCAAAACAAACTGAAAAGGAGAGAAGAAGAGCAGAGAAGAAAGGGAAAAAAAAAACCAAAAAAAAAACCAAAGCGCAGGGGTCCACGAGCGCCAATACCAAACTCCATTACCTCCCCACACTGGCCGGGGGGAGCGTGGGAAAGGCGTATTGCAACCACGGCTCCCATACTTTCAAAAATTTATGTTGAGAGTCGTTGCATATACTCGACATCTGTTCGTTGAGCATCATAGTAGTCATACGATCCCGCACCCCCTGGAAAAGTACAAACGGACTCTTCCAGGCCTGAGCAATTGTCCTAGTAGCCGATAAAAACAAATAGGAAGCCAACCGCTGCTGACGAGCCAAGAGGCCCGGTATGGGGCAATGAAGCAAAGCATACCGAGCATCCCGGCGTATGGAGAGATGGAACAAAGTGAAAAGGAGGCCAAACACACGAGACCAAAAACAAATCAACCTCAGGCATGACCACCAGATATGCAGTACATCGCCACGATGGCCACAACCCCGAAAACATCGATCACTACAGGCAGGGTTAGCCTGGGCCAGACGAGCCGGAACCCAGTACCAACGGAACAATACCTTGTAGGCTGCTTCCAGCGTGGTCGTATTAAATGAACATTTAGCTATGAGTGACTAGGCCCTACTCCAGTCCTCCGGATCCACAGCCACTCCCAGGTCGCGTTCCCACTGAACAACATATGAAAGAGAAGTGTGAGACGAGCGTCTGTTCAAAGCTGCGTAAAGAAGGGAGATAAGGCCCGGGGCGCCGGGTGCTGCTGGCAAAGCCGTTCAAAGGCAGATTTCTGATATGGGAAAGCAGATGTGGCCCTCAGCGAAAGTAGCCAGTGCCGCAATTGAAGGTACCGAAAAAATTCCGCTGGGGGAACATCCCGAGACTCCCGAAGGACATTCCAGGCGGGAAAGGACCGAAAAGTCAAAAAGTGTTGCACCTGTGAGAAACCATGAGCCACCCACCAAGAAAATGCCCTCGGGCAATCTAGACCCGGTGGGAAAAGAGGGTTGTTAACGATTGGAAGCAAGGGCAAAAAGGGTGACATCAGGCCACTGGAGTAACGTACCGAGTCCCAGACTTGTAGGCCATGGAGCAACATCGGACTCAGCGCCATAGGGCGCAGGGCAGGAGGAAGCCATAGGAGTGTCGACAGTGAGATAGGGGCACAATTGGGTATTTCCAGCAGGACCCAGAGAGGAACATCGGAGGAAGCGTGCAACATAGACAGCGGGGCAATCTGGCTCGCCTGATAATACTTAGCTACATTGGGTACCCCAAGACCACCCTGGAGTCTATGAGCAAAGAGCGTATTTCTAGAGACTCTGGGGTGTTTATCGGCCCAGATAAAATGCATAAACTTCGCCTGAAGCAACCGAAGAAAGTGAGGGGGAACCCGCACCGGGAGGGTGCAAAAATAATATAACAATTTCGGCAAGATGGTCATTTTCACTGAATGAACCCGTCCTATCCAAGACAGGTGCGGAAATTGCCAGGAATGCATAAGAGAAGATAAAGAGCTAAGAAAAGGATAATAATTTGCAGCAAAAAGGGAGTCATAGGTGGGGGTCAAGCGAATGCCCAAGTATTCCAGAAAAGAGGAAGCCCACCGGTAAGGGAAGTGGGATTGTAGGCGCGAAACCAAATCTGAAGCCAAAGTAATATTGAGAGCGAGCTACAGTTAGCTTTGGACACGGCCAAAGACAGATCTGTGTACCGGCCCTGTTGCCAGTACCATGTGACCTGCTGTGACCAATCACAGCAGGTCAAATGACAGCTGTATATATAATTGATGGCTTTCTTTCATGCCATCCATTGTATACAAGTGTGTCTACCTGTGAATGGTCACAGTGATCACATGCACAGGCTGGGCCACTCACAGCTCATCTGTGTCCTGTGATTAGCCATGGCCAATCACAGCTAATCGCAACAAAAAAAACAGATTGGATCGATTTTCATTCATTTAAATGCTTGCTTATAGCAAATAAATTCTTTGCTATAAGCAATCAAATTGTGTAAAAAAAAAAAAAAAAAAAAAAACAAAACAAAAAACTGGTCACTTCCCTAAAGTAGTACAACGTTACTATGGTAACATACAAAAAAGAGAAACAAATGTAATAAAAAAAATTGAAAAAAAAATTATACCCTTTTTTTTTTTTTTTGGACTGACACCAGTCAGTGTACCTAATCAGGATTGATCAATTTTCAGATATATCCCATAGTTTGTGAACTCTATAACTTTCCTACAGACTAAATAATAAATTCTGATTTGGGTTATTTTCACCAAAGAAATGTAGCAGAATACATCTTAGCCTAAATTTATGAAGAATTATTAATTTGCAAACTTTTATAACAGAAACAAAGAAACTATATATATATATATATATATATATATATATATATATATATATATATATATATATATATATAATTTTTTTATTTTTTTCAAAATGTTCGGTCTTTTTTTGTTAATGCAGCAAAAAATAAAACCCCAGTGGTGATTAAATACCACCAAAAGAAAGCTCTAGTTGTGTGAACAAAATTATGAAATTTTAGTTTGGGTACAGTGTTTCATGACCGCGCAATTGTCATTTTCAAAGTTTGAGAGCGCTGAAAGCTGAAAATTGGCATGGGCAGGAAGGGGGTAAAAGTGCCCGGTATTGAAGTTGTTAAATATGGTGGCTTCATTAGTTTTTACTTTTTAGGATTTTTTTCTTTTATATTCACCTGGTGATCTTGCTAGTAACACTCTTTCCTGTCTTAAAGTTCCTCTGCTCCACTCCAGCAGCATTGTAAATCTGGGGAGAGGATATTGTTTAAATGGAATGAACTAACAAATCAAAGCTGCACTTCAGCTAACTCTTTTTACAAGCAGGTAAAGCAAAAGGCTTTTTTTTTTGGTCTGTTTTAAAGGAAGCTTCACCAGGTGAAAAGGGAAAAAAGAAAGCTAATGCAGCCACCACATCTAATAATGGGTAAGCTGCAATATGTAACATTTCTGTTATTGGGTTTAAAACCATTTTAAATTATGAAATGTGGTAAAATGTTGACATTGCATGCCAAAATACACTGTGTGCACAATTATTTTGACCAAATCATCATTTTTATGCATATTGTCCAACTCCAAGCTATATAAACTTGAATGCTTATTGGATTTTAGCATATCAGGTAATGTGTATTTCTGTAATGAGGGAAGGTTTGGCCTAAGGAAATCAACACCCTATAACAAGGTGTGCATTATTATTAGGCAGCTTCTTTTCCTCAGGTAAAATGGGCCAAAAAAGATTTAACTCTGACAAGTCAAAAATTGTAAATCGTTTTTCTGAGGGATGAAATAAGATATTAGGGCACGTTCACAGAACTATCAAACGTTTTGTTACAAATAGTCGCATGGCCGCAAGAAACGTGTTAAATGTAAAAGAAGCAAATTAACTGCCAAAGATGTAAGAAGAATCAAACATGAAACTACCAGGAACCAATTAACCTCCAGTGCTGTCATCCTACCTGGAGTGCCCAGAAATACAAGGTGTTCAGTGCTCAGAGACATGGCCAGGGCAAGGAAGGCTGAAACCTGACCACCACTGAACAAGACACATTATTATTATTATACAGTATTTATAAAGCGCCAATAGTTCGCTCAGCACTGTACATTGCAAAGGGAGACAATACATGAAACAGTACAAACACAATACAATAGGATACACGAGGGGTTCGAGGGCCCTGCTCCTTGGAGCTTACAATCTAGGAGACATAGGTTGAAACGTCAAGACTAGGCCATAAAATATCTGAAGACAGATTTTTTATTTTTTTTTAAAGGTTTTATGGGCTGATGAGATGCGACTCTTGATGGACCTGATGCATGGGCCTGTGGCTGGATCAGCAACGGGCACAGAGCTCCACTTCAACTCAGACGCCAGAAAGGTGGAGGTGGGGTATTGGTATGGGCTAGTAGTATTAAAGATGAGCTAGTTGGACCTTTTACAGGTTAAAGATTGACTCATAAAAACTGGCAGTAGGTTTGCTAGTTGATTTTAAGACCCTTTCTTCAAGCCGTGGTACAGCAAAAAAGTCTACATCTTTCAAGAAGACCATGATATTTATGCAGGACGGTGCTCCATAGCATGTATTGAAATACTGCGCTGCGTGGCTATCCAGTAAAGACCTTAAAGATGAAAGAATGACTTCCCCCTTCCTCACCTGACCTAAACCTATTAAGAGCTTGTGGGCCCTTCTTAAACAGGATTTTTACAGTAAAGGAAAGTAGTACACCTCTTTGAACAGTGTCTGGGAGGCTGTGGTTGCTGCTGCACAAAAAGTTGATCGTAAACAGATCACGAAACTGACAGACTCCATGAATGGAAAGCCTATCACTGTGATTGAATAGAAGGGTGGTTATATTGGTTATTAATTTTTTCTTTCTTTGACAGAAATGTTTTTGTTCATTTTTTGTTTTTCTCTAATAGTTGCCCAATAGTTGTACACACATAGATATTTTCCTAAGAAAGCCAAATCCTCACTTTTATTTTTTTAAATATTCAGGTTTGAGGTTCATTAACATTTTGGATTGACCGAGATCACTGTAATTGTTCAATTGATGAAATTAATCCTCAAAATACAACTTGCCTAATAATTGTGCACACAGTGTATTGATCTGGTAATTCTTAAGTATATTCTTATATAATGCGAAAGTTTTAAGCTTCTGAGTTTTTCTAATCATGTCTTTTTGTTCTATATTAATTTAGAGCTTCGCTTTGCTGGTAGAGACAGCATAATCTTCCTGGTTGATGCTTCAAAGTCAATGTTTGATAGTCTAAGTGATGAAGACCTTCCTCCTTTTGAAATAGCGCTACAGGTAATGTTTGTTTTTTCCCTGGGTAGTTATTACTACAATAAATGTAATAACTTATACTGCCAATAGAGAAACAGAGGCTGCCGACACTACCTTCTCCTCTCAAAAATACAAGTGTCCTGACTGCCACGTTGACCCACTGGCTTCATTGCTTTGGTCCTCATAACCAGGCCTAAGTATGCAGATAACGACTTCTGTTCAGCTATCCTGTGTGCAGTTGTTCCAGGTCAGTGAATCTGAAAATACTGAAGCAAAGCTGCATTTAATATGTTTATTTAAAATGCTGGTAATTAATTTTCGAAGAAGGGAGGTGACGTACATTTTTCTTACATGTGAATATTTTTTGAACACAGTAGTAAAGGCTGTTTTTTTTTTTTTTAATTTTTTTTATTTCACCCTTTGCCCCCTAGCAGTCCTATTAGAAGCTTTTTTTAATCTAATAGCTAATATCTTCTTATTAACAAACTTAATATGTATGAATGTGTGGACCTTAGGATGGATTGAACTGGTGTGTGTGTGTGTAAGTGTAATGTGAGACAAAGATTCTACCTGTATCGAAAGTGCATAAGAGTCTATTAAGCATGTATAATTCAAGAATGTACTCCTTACACTGTAATATTTCTTGATTAAGACACTAAAGTGGTTCTAAAGGCATTAAGGTAAAAAACCTTCTGGGTGCAGGTTCCCCGCATTCCCCCTCCCACAATACTTACCTGAGCCCCATCTCGGTCCAGCGATGTGCATTAGAGCTCTCTTGGGGCTCTCTCTCCTCATTGGCTCACACAGCAGTGTGAGCCATTGGCTCACACAGCAGTGTGAGCCATTGGCTCCTGCTGCTGTCAATCACAGTCAATGAGCCAATGAGGAGAGAGCGGGGGGGTGGGGCCGAGTCACGTTCTGTCTGTGTGTGAATGGGCAATGCCTTTTCACAGGAGCGTGGCTCGCGAGCCCCCATACCGACAGGCTTGATATTGGGGGCACCTGGCAGGGGGGAGGAGCCAGGGCCGCCGGCAAGGGACCCACGAAGAAGAGGATTATGGCTGCTCTGTGCAAAACCATTGCAGAGAGAAGGTTAGTATAACAGTGCTTCTCAACCTTTTTTCAGTCAAGGCACCCTTTAAAATTATGGACAGTCTCCAAGCACCCCATTCTAAAATGTAAAAAATGATTCTATTAGTTCAACATCTACACATGTAGGACACCCAAATTTTAGAGGTGATTTATTCTTCCAAATCAAATACATTTTTGCACACTGGTACTGACTAGCATTCCAATGTTTCTCGTTTCACTAAGTTTTTCTCTGTCACTCAGCTAATGTGACCCCAGCACTGATGGAGAGGGTCAGGGGAGAGTCAAACAAGGATGCTGTGCAGACGACAACATCCTCCTTATCAGCTGATGATGTCATAGGTTGTTGGGATGCCGCCAGCTAGGTCTTAGTGGTGCACAATGAAAACCCCTGCCTTTGTGTAACTAAAAGGCAGGCTTGATCCACCTCCTGGTTTATCCACATTTTTGGGGCAATATTTAGGCATTTTACCAAGGCATCCCTGAAGAAACCTCAAGGCACCCCTGGGCACCCTGGTTGAAAAAGCTTGGTATAACGTGTTTTTGTTGTTGGTTTTTTGTTTAATGAATCACTTTTAATATAGGGAAGAGCATTGGAATTGATTTACTAAAACTGGAGAGTGCAAAATCTAGTGCAGCTTTGCATAGAAACCAATCAGCTTTCAGGTGGTGTTTGTTTGTTTTTTTTGTTGTTTTTTTTTTTTTCCACAAAGCTTAATTGAACAAGCTGATGTTTGCAGCTATTTGGCTACGTGGGCAGCACAGTGGCTAAATAGTTAGCACTTCCACCTGGCAGTACTAGGGTCGTTGGTTTGAATCCCAGCCACGGCACCTCCTGCCTGGAGTTTGCATGTTCTCCCTGTGCCTGCGTGGGTTTCCTCCAGGTACTCCGGTTTCTTCCCACACTCCAAAGACATGCTGGTAGGTTAATTGGATCCTGTCTAAATTGGCCCTTTGTATATGAATGTGAGTTATGGACCTTAGATTGTACACCCCTTGAGGGTTAGGGACTGATGTGAATGTACAATATATATGTAAAGCGCTGCGTAAATTGACGGTGCTATATAAGTACCTGAAATAAATAAATGCTATGCACAGATGTACCAGATTTTGTACTTTCCAGTTTTAGTAAATCAATCCCATTGCTATAAGTATATTAATATATATTTGATAAATAAACTGTTAAATTCTGTATGTATAACTGTGTATATGAAACATTCCAATCCCTGCCTCGAATTTCAGAAGCCAACTGTGCCTTTCCATGTGTGGGACTACTATCAAGCCAGCCCTTCATAAGAGGGAGGGTATAAAGAGCAGTCTTTTTTTTTTGCAAGACAAACTTTTATAGCACACATTAACACTGCTATAGGCGAAGATCACGCTCAATCACATGCATGGATACACATACAAACACAAGTTTTTATCTCCTGATCATAATTATACTTTGACATTGCTTTATTTTCTTATATTATAATAATCATCCACAGTTTCAACTCTCTTCAATTTGAAAATTTCTCACCAATAAAAGGTAGTTCAGGTAAGTTTTTATGAGATACTGAAAAAAAAAAAATCACATTTAACATTCTAAAACCGTTTTCCTTGACTGGAGAAACTGGCCAAGCATTTATTCACAAGTTGTGCACTAAAGGGCAAGTTAAACCTTTATTCAGGTTATGAATTTATTCACAAGACTGACTGCTATGGGATCCTGTAGCTGGAGTTTTTACAGTGACGGGAAGTATTTTGGGACCTCTGTTGGCTTATATGACTTTTAGGGATTTGTTAAGCAGGATAATAGTAAGGTGATCGATTTTATAGGTTTCTTTTTACAAAATCACGTACATGCAATGTACTGACATTGTATTAATACTACACTGCATTATTTTGTGATAATTCTTTTTCTTTTTTCTCTTTCTAGTGTATTCGTAGTGTTTACACCAGCAAGATCATCAGCAGTGACCGTGATCTATTATCTGTGGTGTTTTTTGGGACCAGGGAAAGCAAAAATTCTGACCCCTTTAAGCAAATACATGTTCTGCATAATCTGGATACACCAGGTAAGAAATGATTTGTGTTGCTCAGCTTAGAGTGTAAATGCAAAAATCCTAGTTCCAAATACCAAGAATTTGTTAAACAGATATTGGTATATTTTTTATTTACCCACTGAAAAAAAAATATGCAGTGATGGTCAGCTTTTATAAAGGCATATTAACCCCCCTGGTGGAATTCCCGAGTGTAGCTTGGGGTTAACTTTCAGTACCAGAAGCGGTAACCCCGAGCTACACTCGGGATTACCCTGCAGCGTTGCTCAGGGATTCCCTCCAGCACTTACCTTGTCCTGCGCTCCTGCGATGCCCCCCCTGCAGTGTCCCCGGCCATGTCCTCCGGCCGATGCCGGCTTCCATCTTCCAGGTTCCGTTCCCTGCGAGCGTCAGGATGTACGGGGGATGGAACCGGCGGGAAAATTTTAAAAATGTGACATTTACTCAATACACTAAAATATCATAGTATAGCATTACTGTATCAAACCATTTCACATACATTTTATCCCTAATGCTTTGTCCTGTGCCCTGCCTACATTTTTACTGTTCTTTTTGCCTGGAAACTGAGAAACGTCTATGGCATCCAAAAAGCGTCCCTTTAGGTCAAAATTGGTTTTAGACCAGCTAGAGAACAGCCATAGTAAATTAGAACCACTTGCAGAATTGAGTGATGATTTGTGGGGAAATTCGTCCTCAGACATTAAAAACGATTTTGCGACTAAGCTCATTGATGTGCGAACTTGGTGCTCTATTTCAAATTTCAGTGTGTTTGGTTTGATTACATTATTGAACTAAATTTATTATATTATTTTTTATGATTATTTATTATATTCTAATTTATGATTTCGTGGTTCAAATTTTATCATACCCGGGATGTTTACTAGACTCTTGTTCGGACAGATTTCAGTGAGTTATTCCTAAGAATTACAGGCCTACAATAAAAAAACAACATATTTCCATGCAAAAAAAGTACCACTTTGAGCACAGAAATACTGACATAATCAGACCGCTAGGGAGGGTAATGAAACCTAAACCCAGCTGAATGATCAGCCTTGGACGCAATGGGGTTTATTTACTAAAGCTGGAGAGTCCAAAATCAGACTCCCTTCTGCATAGAAACCAATCAGCTTCTAACCTCAGCTTGTTCAATGAAGCTTTGGCAATGATACCTGGAAGCTGATTGGTTTCTATGCAGAAGGGAGTCTGATTTTGGACTCTCCAGCTTTAGTAAATAAACCCCCACCTGTCTGTCTGTGTTCAAGGTCTACCATTTGCAGGTAATCCCTCCATCAGCGATTACATGTGAGTGGCTGAGATTAGCTGCGAGATCCCTCAGCCTCCCATTACTTTTTAGTGAGGCTGCTGCCTGCAGCTAATCACTGGGTCTCTCTCATGTAATTGCTGGGACGTAAAAGTAAACACATGATATATTGAATATACAGTCATAAAATTTTGTTTTGCCAATTTTAAGTGTCTTGTAATTTTAATTTTTGGGGCAGCAATGAATAATAATGTTAAAATGTGCAAGTGCATGAAAATCCTCTCTCCTTCCTAGTAAAGAATATAATCAGATGGGCTACTTATACACAAATGCTACTTTTGTTTACGAGAACAAGCATGTGTCGGAGATTGTTCCTGTTACCCTCCTTCCTGGTGCTTATACATTGATGAATTGTTGCATTTTGTTTTTCGGTGAATCAGTATTGTGGCATACCCCAAATCATGAAGACAAATACTGAGCAATTCTGTGAAAAGGTGAATGAAAAGCACAACAGAACTTTTGGTGCTTGCTAGTGGTAAACTCACCATTCATCTGTTTTGACCACATCTGCTATTTAACACCTCACTCCCCTAAACTGATTTCCACTATGTATCTCCAGCTCAACTGTTTAACCAAACATACTGACCTCACCTTTTTTTACAAATTGGAGAGTAACCTTCAGTGCACCAAAACTGAGGAAGACTAGCAAGAAATTTGGTCCACTATCACCTCATGTTCTATAAATATAACATTGGCCGAGTCAGAATTTAACCACTTGCCCTCCAGAGGATTTACCCCCCTCTTCCTGAACAGGCCATTTTTTGCATTATGGCGCTGTTACTTTAATTGACAATTGCACGGTCATGCAAAAGGGCACCCAAACAAACTTTTACGTCCTTTTTTTTTTTTCCCACAGTGGTTATTGGTATTTGATTGCCTGTGCATTTTTTTTTTTGCACTATTAGAAAAAAAAAAAAAAAAAAAAAAAACCACCGACCATTTTGAAAAAAAAAACAATAGTTTTGACTTTTTGCTATTAAACATGTCCAGTAAAAAAACATAAAAAATCTAATTTCATCATAAATTTAGGCCAAAATGTTTTCTACTACATGTCTTTGCAAAAGAAAAAAAAAAAAAAAAAAAAAAAAATCGCAATACGTGTAAATTAATTGGTTTACGTGAAAGTTTATAGCGTTTACAAGTGGCGGTATATATACTGGAATTTTTTTTTTTTTATTATTACTAGTAATGGTGGCGATCAGCGACTTATAGCGGCACTGCGGTGGGCATGTTGACAGTGGAGGGAACTGACATGGTGTCACTGACATCCCCTGTGACACCAATACAGTGATCAGTGCTAATAAAAACCACTGACGCTGTACTAATGGCACTGGGCAGGAATGCAAAATCGTGTGTGTGTGTGTGTGTGTGTGTGTGTGTGTGTGTGTGTGTTTTTGTGTGTATGTTTGTGTATGTATGTGCTATTGCAGCCATTGTTTTGTCGAATTACTTGTATGCTTTGGGTCATTGTCCTGTTGCATCACCCATCCTCTGCGGAGCTTCAGTTGGCGGACAAATGGTCGTACATTTTCCTGCAAAATGTCTTGATAAACTCTGGAATTCATTTTCCCATCAATGACAACAATCCATCCAGGCCCTGAGGCAGCAAAGCAGCCCCAAACCATGATGCTCCCTCCGCCATGTTTTACAGTGGGGATGAGGTTTTGATGTTGGTGTGCTGAGCCTTTTTTTCTCCACATAGTGTTGTGTGTTCTTCCCAAACAACTCAATCTTGGTTTCATCTGTCCACAGTATATTTTGCCAGTAGTGCTGTGGAACATCCAGGTGCTCTTTTGCAAACTTCAAACGTGCTGCAATATTCTTTTTGGACAGCAATGGCTTCCTCCGTGGTGTCCTCCCATGTACTTCATTCTTGTTTAATGGTTTCCTTATTGTAGATGTGTCAACAAAAATGTTAGCATGTGCCAGAGATTTCTGTAGGTCTTTAGCTGACACTCTGGGATTCTTCTTTACCTCATGCAGCATTCTGCGCTGTGCTCTTGCAGTCATTTTTACAGGATGACCACGCCTAGGGAGAGTAGCAACAGTGCTAAACTTTCTCCATTTGTAGACAGTCCGTCTTACCGTGGACACATGAACATCAAGGCTTTTGGAGATACTTTTGTAACCCTTTCCAGCTTCATGCAAGTCAACAATTCTTGATCGTTGGTCTTCTGAGAGCTCTTTTCTGCGAGGCATGGTTCACATCAGACAGTACTTCTTGAAACCAGTAAACCCAAAACAGGTGTTTTTTAAGTGCAGGACAGCTGTCAGCAACACATCCAATATCATCACACTGATTGGAGTCAAGGCTGGCTCACTCCTGGCTCCAATTAGTTCTGGGAGAAGTCATTAAGCTAGGGCCTCACATACTTTTTCCTCCCTGCACTGTGAATGTTTACATGTTATGTGCAATTAAACCATGGCAACATCCAATGTTTGTGTAGTATTCTGTTCAGCAGACTGTGTTCTTCTATTGTTGTGTGCCTTAGATGACGTTCAGAGCACATTTCATGCCCAATTCATGCAAAACTCCACGTAATCCCAAGGGGTTCACATACTTTTTCTTGCAACTGTGTGTATATGTATGTGTGTGTGTGTGTGTGTGTGTGTGTGTGTGTGTGTGTGTGTGTGTGTGTGTGTGTGTGTGTGTGTGTGTGTGTGTGTATATATCATTTTTGCGCACCCCTGACACCCTGTGGCAGTATATCTGCTATAGGGCGGCTGCAAAGCGGTTAAAGATTGTCACCCAGTGGTACTTGGTTCTATCCAGATTCCAAAAAAGATATATATATATATATATATATATATATATATAATATATATATATATATATATATATATATATATATATATATATATATGCTATATTGCACTATGATCTATTCAGATTCAGTGGGTATACCCCAAATAAGTGGCCAGCACAATATTGCAGGTTACAATACATAAAAAAATATATATACAGAAAGTGCTGCGCTAAATTTAAACTTTCAAGTACATTATTAATATAACAAACAGTCCATTCCAAAGCTATTTGTATGTAGAAAGAAGTTCTTCGATCAAGGACCCAACAGAAATCCAACAAATTCTCAAGAAATCACCAAAAGGAAAAATCCTTCACCAACACCAATCACACTTACCAGATGATATTGACCCCCAAAAAAGGAAAGGTCAATATGCGCTGTGTGTTTCCTGGAAGCAAATTATGGACTTGTAAACAATCCTTAAGGATCCTGGTCTTCAATACAGAATGTTTTTGGATGGACCTAAGTAAATATTATCCTTGTAGAGGACAATCCAGTTTAGAAGGGAAAAAAAGGAATCCTCATAGTATAGTAATTTTAAAATTTTGAATGCCTAAAATGCAGTAAAACACATACATCATATAATAATTAAAATAGCATGTCACCATATCCAAATTGCGATTTGTTTCCAACCATTAAGATGGCTGCCATGTTCCGATGCGTGGTGACATCACACGCTGTGGCTCCTTCCTATGTGTTTCATCACCAATGATGTCCTCGGGGGCGTGGCCGGCGTCAAAACGTTGCTCCATATATAGGAAAGGATACCCCTCCTTTCTCTACTAATGATCAAAAACCGGAACCAGAAAAGATGGAACAAGGCAATGCATCCTGTCCCAAAATAATTATACAACCAAAGCTGGAAAAATTATTATGGGACAAAAAAGACT